AATATTTCAGCTCCTGCCAATGCTGTTATCAAACGCGTGCTCAATACTCATTAGTTTGTCCTTGAATAAAGCATAAATTTAGGGAAAACGGGATTGCAGATTATTGTTTCCGCACTAAATATCTGACCATTTTTACCATTGCCCACCTCCCATTTAGAGCAGTGCATAGCTTCATTGCCCACTTTAGAGATACTTTTCCAAAGACTCACACCATAGTTACTACGGTTTATCAAATTTTGATAGGCATCCTTCATGTTCCATTTGGAGTCAACAATTTTTTTCCACAAACTGTTTGATTCATTCCAATATCTCCAGACCCATTTACCATGTAAGACTTTATTTAAAGTCTTTAAGGATCTCAAACCAAGGACACAAGAACTGATGGGAGTTTTCACCTCTTCCCAATTTACGAGATGGAATTTTTTCTTATTTTCCTCATCTCCCCATAGGAATCTGCATTGTATGCTTTCAAGGATTTTGACAACCTTTGTAGGGTTGGTGAGGAGGGAAAGATAGTAAGTTGGGAGGTTTGATAATGTGCTCTTGATCAAAGTCAATCTCCCTCCCTTAGACAAGTAATTTCTTTTCCAACCAGTGAGATGTTTATAAAAAATATCAATTATTGGCTCCCAACTTTTTGGATCTTTACGTTTCACTCCAAGAGGGACCCCAAGGTATTTGATGGGAACTGTTGCTTATTTGCACTTTAAAATTGAAGCAAGAGGTTCCACAATGTTGTTAATCCCAAAACCCGCAATCTCAGATTTTGACATGTTGATCTTGAACCCCGAAACAGCTTGGAAATAGAGAAGAATACATTTAAGATTAAGCAGCATATTAACATCGGGTTGGCAGAAAATTAGGTGTCGTCGGTAAAGAATAGATGAGTGATCTCAATGTTTTCCTCTTTACCCATTCTGATTCCTCCAATGAGATTCAAATTTTTTGCTTGCTCAATAAGATTGTTTAATGCTTTCATAACCATAATGAAGAGTAATGGAGACAACGGGTTGCTTCGGCCCAACCCTTTAGAAGCATTAAAGAAAGTGGAAGGACCATCATTGACCATGACAACGAAACTTATTGTGGAGATGCAAGTATTAATCCATTTTCGCCATTTTGAATTGAAACCAAAACGAATGAGCGTATAGTGTATGAAGTCCCAGCTAACATTGTCAAAAGCCTTTTGCATATCCAATTTACATAGTAGCCCCCTCTTTTTGTCTCTATTAAGATCATTAGCCACTTTATTTGCAATTAGAATGACATTAGGAATTTTTTTCCCTTCAATGAAAGCGTGTTGACAGTCCCCGATGATGAAATTTAATGCCTTAGAGAGTCATCTAGCAATACCTTAGATAATAATTTGTGAACATTGCCCACAAGACTGACTAGTCTAAAATCAGTGAATCTGTTGGCTCCTTCCTTTTTAGGGATCAAGACAAGAAACGTGGAGTTGATCGATTTAACAAATGAGCCATTCTTGTGGAAATCATTGAAAAATTCAAGAATATCATTTTTTAGCACATGCTAGAATTCTTGAAAGAATTTTAGATTAAAACCATCAGACCCTGGAGTTTTGTCACCATTACTCTCTTTTAAACAGTTGTAAATTTCTTCTTCAGAGAATTCAGCTTCAAGTGTTGTTCTGTCAGCATTATTTATTTTGCTGAAATGTATGTTATCGAGTTTCGGCCGTTTTTCAGTAGTTTCTTGGTATAAGGATTTGAAATGATCTTTTGCAGCTTCTCTTATGGCTTTGTTACCTCTGACCAGTTGACCATTAATCGAAAATTCCTCCACATAGTTTACTCTTCTTCTATGATTCGCCAAACAATGAAAAACTATGTGTTCTTGTCTTCATTTCTAATCCATTTTTCACGTGTTTTCTGTTTCCATAATACAACTTCCAAATGCACTCTGTTAGCAAGTTCCTCGCGTACACTATTTCTTTTCTCAACATGTTCAGGAAGGAGAACATAATTGTTTGCCAAGATGTCCATTTCAGCAAGCTCATTTAGTAGATCGTTAGTTTTGTTTTCTTCCTTCAAATCTACTTCCTTGGTACAAGATACAAGATTTAATTTCGTGTTTGAGTCTGATTAGCTTTTTAGAGAGTCCGAAACTTGCTATGCCATTTACAATCTGTTAGTTCTATGTCAAGCTGATTATAGACTTAAAACTGTTCACTAATAACCCACTTGTTGTCAAATCGGAATGGGGTTGGTCTCCATTTGATCCCATTAGAAGTAAGACATATAGGAAAATGATCAGATATAGGTCGAGGGAGTACTTTTTGGTTGAGATTCGACAGAGACAGAAGAAGCTCAGTGGATATCAAGAATCTATCAAGTCTGGAGTGAGAAAGCTTGTCTCTTTGGTTGCTTCAAGTCCACTTTCCCCCTTTGAGAGGAATGGCTTCTAGCCCCAGATTGTCAATATTAACTTTGAATTCTTGAGCGACAGAAGTAGAAAAGTTTTTCCTTGATTGTTCATTGCGGTGCATAACCATGTTGCAGTCCCGCCCACTATCCCATTTTCTCCCTATCTGGATTGACATTGGAGCAGCTCATTCCATAATTTTTCTCTGTTCGATGTGTCTTCGGCAGTAAATTCCAGAGAAGGACCATTTTTCTTTATTTTTCTTATTGAGAAATAAGCAAGAAATAGAAGTTTCACTTTTTATGTAGTCGGTACATTCCACCAATTCTGATATCCAACAAATGAGGATACCACCAGCAGTGTTGTCCGCCGGAAGATAGAGCCAGTCAGAATAATGAGAACCCCACACACTTTTGACGGTATTCTTGTCAATATTAATGTGGTTCTCTTATTGGCGGTCAATTTTACCTCGACTTCTATATATGTACGTGACTTATGCAGCTAATCTGAACAAGCTATGCATAAAAGGTTGAGTTCTCTTGCGTGGTTCTCAAAGAGATCGTTGAGTTCTCACTTAACAAGCCTATTCTATTGAGTTCTCACTTAAAAAGGTTGAGTTCTCTTGCGTGGTTCTCAAAGAGATCGTTGAGTTCTCACTTAACAAGCCTATTCTATTGACCAAAATCTCATAACTAGATCCTAAGTAAGGAATATAGGACTTTCTCACTCAAGGAGATTTTTGGGTTTCCTCTTAAAAACCAGAACTTTTCTAGGCAAGATAGGTCCAGAAGAAGCGTGCAGAAGACTTCTGTAATTTCTTTTTATGATTTTCTGTTTCAAGATCTATAACAGAGCAGGAGGGCTGAGAAAAATTCCAATTTGTTCCTTCACTAAGGTCTAATGGTTGGTGGTCCTTATAGAGCTTTGACTAATTTTCTGCAATTGTAAATCCTTTATATAGTAGACCCAGTTGGTGGCCCATAATGGATTTTATTATATTTTTTAAGAAAAAAAATCTAATAGACACTGTAACTTTTGTTATAATAAATATTGGGCTTATAGGATGGTGAAGCGACTTCTCTGAGTAATTGATTAAACATGTATACATGTGCATTCCTGTGATACAGCTATGTGGCTAAGAGATTGTTGTATTCTCTACAGAGGGAAGAGATGTTTATATTCATCCCCAATGATCCAAGGTCAACTACAAAGCTCAAAGTGCAGCTTCAAACCATAAAAGGTCGACTTTTGGTGCTTACTGTTGTATGGGTTTCTGTGATTTTGGTATATATGAATATATGTGTAACCAAATGTTTTCATGGAAGTATAGAATTCTTTAAAAAAAGAGGTAAAATAAAGAGGTATTGATTTTAACCCAATTTACGTTGTCAGCTACTAATTCTGAATCTTTGGCGGAATGAATATGGGAATGCATAAGTTTATAACTTGCTTTGATATGTTTTATTTAACAAGGACTTTGTTTTTCCTCTTAGTTGTCTACTGGTTCTGCGGCTATGTTTTCATCTTCTTTGTGATAAATTTTTAGGTCAAAAACACACCAAGGAGGGATCAAATAAACCACCCTGGCTTAATCTAAGCAATAAGCAGGTTTTTGTCCTTGAAATTAGTTTTCATTCTTGTCTTTGCTGGTTGTTTATGAATTCTGTTTAATTCTTATGTATTTGCTCTCTTCAATGCCTTATTGTTTTGTTTCAGGGTGGAAGTTACATATTTGAGTTTGAAAATTATTCTGATCTCCAAGTTTGCCGAGATTTTGTGGGTAAATCACAATCTCCAACCATAGTCATATTGCTGGATACATATCATATCCATCTATTTGTGCATAGCTTAAATTAATTTTTTTATAAATTCATTAAGGATGGGGTTTTCTCGGTTTGCTGTCTCC